TTAATATGGAAGTAGATCGAAGTAGTATATGTGAGCAAAATAAGGTCTATATTAATAACTTATTTTGCCTGTTGTTAAATGCATAGACATTACTTATGTACCCATATAAGCCCCTTATAAGGACTTTATCAGCATGAGGCCCTTATTAAGAAAAATTTAATAAGGTGTAACATGTAATTAAAATCTTATAAAGGAACGAATCCCTTATTAAGAAATTGTTAATAAGGCCTTATTAATTTAATAAGGTCCTTATCTGGAACAAATAAGAACATATTAAATTATATTAAATTTTTTTTGCAGGGTGGGCGGGTTGCCTACTCGCCCAGGCCTCAGGCGCCGTAGTCACTATGAGAACGCTTGCATGCGGCACAGTATCACTGCAAAAGTGCACGTGCTTTTTCAGTCACCTGCGGTAAAAATGTGTCATAGTACCTCTCTGAGCCTCTTGGCTTGGGCTATGGTTCAGGGCCGTAGGTAACGTTACACACACTGAATGACTATGTACTATTTTATACACAGCTTGTGCATTTCTGTGCACATGCATAGCTTATGTAATTTTTTTTACACATTATGTAAAAAATCTTACATAATTATGTACTATTTATACATAAGTATGTAATAAAATTTTACATAAGCTACGCATGTGCACAGACATGCATAGCTGTGTATAAAATAGTACATAAAAATTCTCTGTGCACATGCAAACTTCATAATGACGAAGTTTGATAAACTTTGCGCGAGGTCGAGTTCGAGTTCAGCCATTCATCAAGAAAAGGTAGCAGCAGATTTCTTGCGCCCGTGCACATGCGTTCCTGTGCGGTTTTGTGCCGGCGGGCTTAGTATGAGAAATTCCTTTGCGGAGCGCGGCGCGTTAATAAGGGGGATAGAAGAAGAAAGAAATTAATTTGGCCGATGAGTAATGAAGTTCGTCGTCTTTTTTTTTACTCCCTTGGTTGCCCAGGACTTCAGGCGAGGTAAACACGCAGAGGGCCGCGCCGTACCTTCGCCACCGGGGGGGGGAAGGGGAGGGGGGGCGTGCACCCTTGCTGTGCCGGGGAGGTTTCTCTTGGGGGATGCACGCGCACGCGGTAGACTCGGGGGCGGTTTACGCTCCGGAGAAAGTTGGCTGGGGGGGGCGGAAGGGGAGGTGGGCGGAGGTGGGCGCATGGGGGAGGGGGGCGGGCCGGCGCAGGCCCCAGCCGCACGATGTATGAGGGTCCCGCAGTGCTTTTAAAAGCGACTGGAAAAGTAGGAGGGAAAAAAATCACATAAACTGCGTTCGGAAGGGGAGGAAAGAGGCGCTGTCGAGAAAGTGAAAACAGTCCGGAGGGTACGGAGCTCTCGGTGTGTGCGGGGAGCTTATAACGCGACTGTAAAGGTGAGCGTTATTGGTGCTTCTGAGGGGCGTTCGGGACCGGTGTGTGTGTGTGTGTGTGTGTGTGTGTGTGTGTGCCTGTATGGGGGTCAATCCGAGGAGATTCTGGAAGTCAAATCCATCTATCCGAGGAGATTTCTGTGTATAATAGCAATCCGAGGAGCTCCTCGGATTTCATCTCCTCGGATTTCTGCCCGGGACCTTTTCCGGTAGTTGGTACCAGTGGCCACCAGGGCCGCGCTGTAACTCGTGTATACACACATTTCTGAAAATGTTTTATCCAATCCGAGGAAAATATTGTGGTACAGCGAAGCGAGGAAGGCTTTTAAGTGTACTGTATACATTTACTGGTGCAATGACAAATCGAAACGGGTCACATTTCGTGCTCGGAGGTGTTGGGGAACTGGAGATACGGAGGTTGTTCGGTTCTCCGGGGGCCGCCAGGGCCGGTGTCCGAGCCGGCTGGCTCGTACTCTCTCACTCGCACGCTGTCTGCATCTCCACTGTGAAAAAAGTCTCCGTAGATTTACAACATATTTTGTAATTCGAATTTATAAAATATGTCTTAAATTTACGACCGCCCATTCACTGCAAATACCAGAGCGAGGATTCTCGCTCTCAGGAGAGCGAGAATGTGACCCCAATAACCTCGCTCTCCTGAGAGCCAGGTTAATTTTCCTCGCTCTATTTGAGTACTAAATTTGCATTATCACTCAATTTGAGTCATAACAGTCACAAAAGTTATTCAAAATTATGACTCAAAATGAGTGAGGTTAACAATACTCGCTCAAATGAGGCAAAGATTAAGAATACTCGCTCTTATTGGGCATGAATAAATTGTCTCGCTCATATTGAGCATGAAACCTCGCTCTAGCTTTTACAGTGTTCTTGCTCGTCACTGAATTTTAAGTCGATAGCGCGTGCTTGTAAATTTACATTTTCATATTATTATTTTACGACTCATGTCGTGGAAAATTTTCCTGTTAAATGTACTAATATTTTTCACAATGTCGTTCTAAGGCCGGTGGTAAGGTGAGGCGAGGGAAGGGAAGCGGCTCCCACCACAGCCTACTGCGCATAAGCGCGCCGCTCCTTATCCCCCTTCTCTCTTCTCGTCGCTCGCTCGTAGGAGCCGTGCCCTTTCCCTCTCCACACCCCCCGCCTTTCCCTCGTCAACGCCGCGGGGTAGAACGGTGCATGCGTGTAGGTACACGCGGGTGATGCGCCCTGGTCCGTGACTTTGTCGTAGACCCCGCAATCCCCGTACAATCAGGGTGCAAGGAGTAGAAGTCTCGTGAACCGCGAAGGACCGGGGTGCAACCTTCGCAGTCACTGGCCTTCGCAGTCACTGGAAAAACAAAGGTGCTAACTCGTACCTTTAGAAGGCGCTTAGGGTTGAGTGCCTCTACAAAGGCATTAAAACTGCACCGAGAAAACGGTTCCATTGATTTGACAATTGATAATATGATGGAATTTTTTCCTTGAATTAAAGGAGTTTCCATTGTTTTAAGGGAAAATTTCCGTAGGATAAAGGATTTTTCTCTGAAACAAGGGAAGCATCCGTAAAGCATTGGAATTTTCTATCATGTCTACACTGTTATTCAACGAATGTGACGTCACATTCCTTTGAACGTGAATCGTGTCACGTTCGTTAGAATATTGTGTCACATTCGTTTGAATGTGAATCGGCAAGCCTGGTGCCATTTGAGCATCGATTCACGTTCAAACGAATGTGACACAATATTCTAACGAACGTGACACGATTCACGTTCAACCGAATGTGACGTCACATTCGTTGAATAACAGTGTATACGAACGGAAAGTTTCCATTGACTTAAGGAAGAATCCGTTAAGTCAATGGAACCATTTTCTGGGTGTGCTAAAGGCACTAACTTTTAGCTCATTTAAGGCTGTCTAGTGCCTTTACAAAGGCACTAAACTCAAAATTTCTTTAGCACCCCTGGACGAGGGGGAATTTACTCGCGAAATAGTTCGTACACCCTTCGGCGAAATAAATGCAAAATAGAGCGAAATGGAGGCGAAATAGCGCGAAATGGTGGCGAAATACATGGAGAAATAGTCGCGAAATGGCTCCGAAATGCCCCGAAATAATCCGAATTAGGCGTAAAATGACCGAAATAGCCCGAAAAACTGCGAAATTACTCGTACGCTGTGTAGCTGAGTAATTTCCCCACGGTAAAAACAAAGTCTCATTTTTCGAGGGAAAAGGGAAAACTTTGAGGAAGTCAGTAACTTTGAGGGTCTTCCTTAAAAAATCACAAATTTTGAGGAAGTCCCTCAAAGTTGGCGCGTTTGCTGCTGCGCCCACCTCAGCACTTTAACGCTTTATAACATCTGATCGAATTGTCGCTCTGTCAAATTGAATGTATTTCTCTTAGTTCCAGAGCTGCGGAACCCATCCTGCGAAGTTTGATAAGTGTCCAGTGAGAAGGAACAAAACTGATTTTTGGAATGGTTGACGTGTGCAAGCACGTCTGTAAGCACGTAAATCATTCCAAAAATCAGTTTCGTTTCTTCTCATTGGACACTCATCAAACTTCGCAGGATGGGTTCCGCAGCTCTGCAACTTAGAGAAATACATTCAATTTGAGTAAGCGACAATTCGATCAGATGTTATAAAGCGTTAAAGTGCTGAGGTGGGCGCAGCGGCAAACGCGCCAACTTTGAGGGACTTCCTCAAAATTTGTGACTTTTTAAGGAAGACCCTCAAAGTTGCTGACTTCCTCAAAGTTTTCCCTTTTCCCTCGAAAAATGAGACTTCGTTTTTACCGTGCCCCTCGCCCCTGGAAAGGTGCTAATTAGCACCTTTGTTTTTCCAGTGGTCCTCCCACGGCTAACGAAGGACCACCCAGTGTTAAGCCCCGCGAGTCGCAAGGGACCACTGCATAACCTCCGCATGTACACAGTTACTTAAACCCTAAACCAAAAGATCGGCTATCTCCGCGCACTCCGTGCACTCCGGATGTAGGTACTCAGTGTGTACAAAGCTAAACGTACCCCAACTGTAGTCCGTGTACTCCAGCTGTACTCCAGCTGTACTCCGCGTACTCCGGTCACACCAAAAAGTTGAGTGGTCCACCCCTCGGTAGAAACGCTCGAGGGGCTGCACTCTTATGAGCGCGCCTGGTGATGCAGTGCGAGAGAGATAGATGCTGCCCCCCGGATGAAGTGGTGCCAACCACTGGACACTGAACACAGGTGACTGACAGGCAGCGCCATCTAGGTTCTAGTGCCGGCAGTGGACAGCAGCCGACACCGCTCGTGTGTCCGTGCGAGCCAACTGCTGACCAGCAGTTGCGGTGGCCGAGCGGGCTGCGG